CGGGGGGGATCAATAATTAAACACTGCGTCGTCAGTGTTGGTATTGTATCAGACATTTGCACTTAACATTATATGAAAATCAAGCTCAAGTTGAGTTAACAAGGTTTTTGACCAGCGAATGACGGAGATGTTTTGTCTGTCAATAGAAAGGCCGCATCTGAGGCAAGTGCATCGCATTATACGCTTTCATCAACTTTAACAGGTTATATAACGTTTATTGTAGCTATTTGGGTGCTTAGTTTTTCTTGCTGTTTAATACACTTGGCCAAAATCTCATGATATAAATGATGAAGCGCGATATGAAATATCCTGTGCATATCGCGCTTCATCATTTATATCATGAGATTTTGGCCAAGTGTATTAAGTGTCCATAACGGGGTTGAAGACTAATAGTGCCCATATATTAAAATAATGACCAATAATAATAGGGATTTGATGCCTGAGGTGGGAAAATATGTTTTTCTGGAAGTTAAATATGTAATTAATGTTGTGAGGTGTTCAGAAAAGTAATACATTTTAGTAAAAAATCAAAAAATGTGTAAGTCCAAATCGTACCGGTTTCGTGGAATGACTCAGCTACAACATGTATATTGGCTACAACTAGATGGCAAATAGCCTACTTCTTCTCCACTCTTCAAACACACAAAAACATTAGCCTTTAAAGACATAGTGTTTGAGTAAAGAAAACGCTGTACTATTCAAACGTCAGTTATTTATTTAGCCTTGCATTGCAAACAAGCGGAGATCTGTCTCATGTGCGCGGCGCGTCAATTTGGTTGTGGTTGTATACCGAATGGTTTCCCATGTGGCGATGTTACTCTCATTTCATCCCAACTCACACATTCATGTTCAATGGCACAACAGATTTTAATTTACGTGTGTCCATTTGCAAATGGTCCTAATTTAATCTTAAAGGGATAGTTCACCCAAAAATGAAAATTCTGCCATTAATTACTCACCCTCATGTCGTTCCAAACCCATAAGACCTTCGTTCATCTTCGGAACATCAATTGAGATATTTTTGGTGAAATCTGAGCGTCGTGGTACTCTCGTGTATGGCGGCGGACGCTGACACAGAAGAGAAGAACTGTTGAATAAAGTCGTTATTTTTGTTTTCTTTGCGCACAAAAAGTATTCTCATAGTATCATAAAATTATGGCTGAACCACTGATGGTACATGGACTATTTTAATGATGCCCTTACAACCTTTCAGGGCCTGGGAATGTTCAGTTGCATTGCTATATATGCAGGGTAAGAAAGCTCTCAGATTTCATCAAAAATATCTCCATTTGTGTTCCGAAGATGAACGAAGGTCTTGTGGGTTTGGAACGACATGAGGGTAAAAAGTGATTAGGTAAAACTTTTAGAAAAAAATATTGCTCTAGAAATGAAAAAAACATCTTTTACCCAATATTTGCAGGGTCAACCATGCATCCATAAACATCATTACAGAGGGCAATTCAAGTCTCAACTCCACTTTTGTGTAAGGTTCTATATATTTTTTTATGCTCATAGAATATGGAATGCTATAAATATTGTGAATAAATATAGTTTACAATATTACATATGCAAAGCTAATTTGGACCTTTTTCTTTCTGACAGAGCTCATCCTGAAAAGTTTTCACCTGCTCTGAAGTCCATCAAGTGTGTTGGTATTTTGTTTGATTGTAAGCTTGTTGTTGGTTTTGTGCTTTTATTGACTCTTATTTTTATGTGATATTCTCTGTATTTGATGTACAACACCACTTTTGTCACATTCTTTAGCTTTGATGACTGTGACATAAATGGACAGCATCTCGCTCCTCTGACACTTCCCTTTCAGAAATGCCATGCCTTGCAGGATTTAAGGTGAGTCAATGAGAGTTTATGCTTATTTTGGTCTATTAGATGTTTTATTTTTCTGTATGAATTCTGCTTACTTCATTTTATGTCCAGATTCTCAGCTCAAAATGGACAGAAATGGTGCAGATTTTTTTTCTGCGGTCATTCCGTTCTTACGGAATCTCAGGAACTATACGTAAGTGTTTCATAATTAAGAACAGATAGTCATCTTTATTTTAAATGTATGTATATTCTTTTAAAGGGGTCATATGATGTTGCTAAAAAGAACATTATTGTTTAAACGAGGCGTTTTAGGAGGGCGTGGACCAGTCTTAACTTTTATAAATAATATCTCTTTGGATTTGAGACTTTAGTCTTTGCAACTTTAGGGATCTTATCTATTCACGAACAGCTTGTAACACTCCAAAGAGAAAGGAAAACTTGAAATCGCATCATATGACCCCTTTAAAACATGCTTTTTACATAATGTCTAACAGTGAACATGCATACATCACAGGACATTTGTGTAATTTTGATACCACAGTGTCATTTCCACATCTCAGATAAAATATTGTGTTTAATAGCATTCTGTGATAGAAATAGCGGTGGTGAGAATTACATTTTTAACATTTTTGTGATAAAATGTCCAACTATTTTTGTTGCGGGGGCTGATTCCATAGCATCTATGGATCTTAAATACACACAGTTAGATCTTTTTTTTCATAATATTTGCATAATTTGACAAAAATAAAGCTTAATAGGAAATTAAGTATGATTAAAAAGTCTGCTCACAAGTGATATTCTCTTTATTTTCTTCATTATGTGTTTCATGGTTTTTTTCCCCTCAAGTGCTTCACTGACACTAGTAAACAAGTACACTAACTTTTGAGAAAAACATGGAATATTTTTTTTTACATGGAATATTTTTACTTTTTTAGTCTTGATTTGAAAGGTGCCGATGAGGATGTGTTGGAAAAGCTTGCTTGAAGCATTACCAAACTCTTTCTCATTATCCTTTTGTCCAAGTAAAGTTTAACTTTGCACTGAAAAAGTGGTCCTTACCAGGAATAATTATGTGTAATTTCATTCTGTCAGCTTATTTACCTTTTCCTTCCCACATGTTTGAACATTTCCCTTTGCCTTTGGTTTTCCAGTTTGTCCCAGCTTGTTTTAGGTGACCGTGGAGCTGCAGTACTTGGGAGAGCACTTCAAAGTGTGCCAAATCTAAAGTCGATCAAGTAAGTGTCTGATTTTCTTCATTATTTCTCAGTGCAGCAGAGTGCAACATTGCTGATTGGCCGATATCTTTTTGTCCAGTCTGTACCAGTGCTCTGGTTGGACAGCAGCTCGAGGGCGTGACCTGGTCAGAAGTCTGGTGCAGGTGCATCTTGCTGGCAGAGATACGGTAACACGTGTTGTAGTCTCAGCTTTTCAAACACTGCACTCTTGAATTTAAGAAATGTGGCTAGTTTGTAATGCATTCACAGTCATTGACAGAATATGCTATATTCAATACTATATTCTCAATGATAGACTGGACTCTGTGGTACTTGATGAGGAGGGTATAACCATCCTAGCTCAAGGCTTCAGCCATTTGGCCTCACTTAGAAGGCTCAGGTAAGGCTTTTACACCCTGAAATGTTCATTGTAGATTTCGCAAACACTCAATAAGCTGGTGTACTCACCCGAGAGCCCATCCTGTATTTAATTTCTACTTTGATTGGTTATTCTCCTCAGCTTGAGCAATATTAGAGTGGTGACATCAGAGACGTTTGTGAATGGCACTGGCATACTTTGTCTTCTGACCTCTTTTAGGGGTTTTAGACAGATGGAAGAGATTGAGTAAGTATTGTGGTCATTAAAAAGCACATGCACACACATGCTAAGGGTTTGGAAATATGTGAAAATTTTTATGCTGTTTACAGGTTGGAAAGTTGGCGAATGGGAGATGGTGGTACTTATGAGCTTGTGAAATACATTAATTCGTGGACTGAACTAGTAAAACTAAGGTATGGCAACTGCATTGAGCATGAGAATAAATTTATTCCTTACCTGAATAGTGCTTGAGCACAATTTATAAGGTTTATGATAGAGCGCCCTCTAGTGGAGACATGGTGGAAATATATTATGCCAAGTTGTCAATATTTATTTAATATATACAAAATAGTTTGGGGTCAGTAAGATTTTTTTTTTGTTAGAAATGTGGAAGCTGTCATCACAGAAATAAATTACACGTTAATATATTACCATAGAGGACAGTCATTTTAAATTGTAATAATATTTTACAATATCACTGTTTTTACTGAATTTTTGATCAAATGAATGCAGCCTTGGTGAGCGTAGGAGAGTTCTTTCAAAAACATTAGAAAGACATACTGACCCCATACTTTTGCACGGTAGTGTTATTGTCTAGATTTGTTACTGCAGTAACATCATCTGAATCATTGCATTATTATTCATTTTCCTTGATTAACCTTTTTGCAGTCTGTCAGACAACAATGTGACCGACCAGGCTGGAGAAAAGCTACTGGTGGCACTATCCCACTGCAGAGTTCTTCAGAAACTACAGTAAATCATTTATTTTATTTAATTTGTGATATTACTTGCAAAATCAGTAGCTGACCATTCTTCATCATTTTGTTTTCACAGGCTGTCCAAAAACCGGCTTGGTCAGGCATGTGCTGCTAAACTAGCTCAAGTCCTTCCGTTACTGCCCCAACTTTCAGAACTCAGTAAGTCCTGTGTACAGTATTGTGGTCTTCACAGTGAATAATTACAGAATTAATTTTAGATGAAACTATTGCTTTAAAAAGATGTCACTGACAGGGAATAAAATTGTTTTTGTTTTTATTTAGTTTGTCAGAGAATCAGTTTGGCCCACATGGATCCTTGGCTCTTTGTGAAGGTCTGATGAGCATGAAGGCACTAAAAATACTACAGTAAGACACTAAATACATTACAGAACCACATATACTGTGTGAAGTGTAATGTATGGATTTGTTACATCACATGCACTACCGTTCAAACGTTTGGGGTCAGTATGTTGTTGTTTTTTTTAAGATATTCATACTTTTATTCAGCAAGGATGCATTAACTTGATAGCATAAAAATTACAGTAAAAACATTCATATGTTATTGTGAAATTTCTATTCATCAAAGAATCTTGAACATTATATATTAAGGTTTCCAAAAAAAAAAAAAAAGAAAAAAAAGCAACAGAACTGTTTTCAACATTGATAATAATAAGAAATGTTTCTTAAACACCAAATCAACATATTAGAATGATTTCTGAAGGATAATGTGACACTGAAGATTAATGGCTGCTGAAAATTCAGCTTTGCTATCACAGGAATAAATAGCATTTTAAAATATATTAAAATAGAAAACAGCTATTTTAAATTGTAATGATATTTCACAATATTAATACTTTATTGTATTTTTGTTTAAATAAATGCAGCCTTAGTGAGCATAAGAGACTTATTTAAAAAACATACTGTAAACCAGTGTTACTACTTGTCTCTCAGTTTGACTTCGATTAGGAGTTCAGATCTGGTTGGTGTGGCCTCATCCCTCAAACACTGTTCATCCATAGAGGACATCAGGTGGGATAAGACGTTTCAGACTTCTTTTAATGCTGCAGTTGGACTGATGAATGTATGGACCCAGACATTGCATTGTCCCGGTCCCTGTGTTTGTGTGTGTTTGCAAAGCTGCCATTAGTTTATGATTTAATGTCTTCATCAGCTTGTCATGGAATGGATGTGGTGACAGCCTGGCACGGACACTGGCTGAGATTTTACCCCTATGTACGAATCCGAAAAGACTTGAGTAAGTACTTGAGTGCTTGCTGTGAAGGTTTAGCTATTAGTGCAATTACAAAATGCTGATGTCATTAAAACTAATGATTGCAGCCTGGAAGCCAATAATGTAACTACAGCAGGAGCCACAGTGATAGCCAAATGCCTCCCATCATGCCCCTCCATTGAAGTAATAAGGTATGACTAGCACATACACTCTTGATCAGAAAATTTGTGATTAATACAAATAGTAGAACTGCTTGACATGCACATAAAAAGCTGAGCTTCTCTTCATTTAACACAGACTCTGGAGGAACCCAGTCTGATCTGAAAGATCAGAGACTGAATTTTTCATCAGTTTAATCACTTATGTTTTCATTTTTTTTTTGTTTCCTTTTTTATATTGTAAATAATATTGTTGTAGTACTATTTGTCACGGTTGCAGTACTGAGTGGAGTGCAGAGCAAGGAACAGAGGGAGATGAGGAGTACATCAATTCAGAGAATTTTAATTATAACAAGGAAAACTCACTAGCACAGGTAGACATAAATAATACCGGACGCTGAACTAAAAACAGGGAACACTATTTAAACACATGACAAGACGAGGGGATGACGAGACACACCTGGGATCAATGGAAATAAACGGGGAACACCTGGAATTAAATCAACATAATCAGGACAGGAACAGGAAACTAACCGAATATGGGCATAAACACTGGGACACAGGGAGCACATGGGGGACAAAACACAACACAAGCCTGACACTATTACTGGATTGTAATATTGAGTTATTTAATCGGGGAACACATTACCTCATTAGAGCAATTCATGACACCAAACAACACAGTTTCCAGCTGTTCAGGGACTTGAATCATTTAATGTCCATCTAATGGTAACAGTAGGCTCTGGTCAATAAAGAGAAAGAGTAGGTAACACATGCTATGGCATAAAAAATAAAAAAGATCAATTGGATTACCTGTACAAGAGATTTACATTTTCTGTGGATTTTCTAAATTGTAAGAATAAGAAACAATAAAAAAATGTGACTAATTAGCACAGGCAGCTCTCTTGTAAAGTTCAGCACATTCATGCTCTTTGCTTATGCACTGACATAAGAGCCCAGACCTCCATTTAGGGGCATTCATGCGCTGATCAACCCTGGACACCCCCATGTTGTGTTCTCTTTAAAACTACGTATTTATGTCTGTATTTTACTTGGATCTATTCAACTGTTAGCTATAAATTGTTTTATTTTGTTTGATTTTTTTGTTATGTGCTTTACTCTGTGTTACCTGTAAGGTGAAATTGCCCAGTGCTTGTGTAACTGGTAAACGCACAAACATCCACTCTGATAGCTGCACTAATACATTTGCATTCTATTCATCTACTGTGTTTTTAATGTGCACGTTAAATGTAAATAAAGGTAATTCATCATAAAATAATTTTTAATGATATTTTGGACAATAGTTATTCGGCTATTTAATCACATCTTAAAATAGAATAACGATATAGGCTAGTGATTTAATGTCTTATACTACTACTACTACTACTACTAATAATAATTATTATTATTATTTAATTAAAATATATTTCAAAATGGCAGGTAGATTGTGGTAGTCTGTCATTTGTAATGGGAAATATTTAAAAAATGGGCCCTGTTTTCAAACTACCTCCTTTGCACGGTGCAGTATTTCTGCTAGATGGCAGTAAAGCAACACGGTAAATCTGGTAAGGCTGTGGACCGCTGTTCTCTTCAATGTTTTATCAGGAAATACTGTTCACGTGAATTAAAAAGCACATTCCTGTCGCTATGATGACACGATGTACAACATAATCAAGAAGAAGAAGGAAAAAAGAAAACATTGCGTCCATACGCCCAGTTAGCCGTCAATGACGGTGATGACAATGAAGAGCACATCAATTCAAAGATTGTCAAAGATCCCCCTACAAATGGTCTGTTACTCTTTTTACATCAAAATTGGTTAAATTAGATGGAATGAAACAGTTGACAATGCATACGTTTGATTCAATGATCTTTAAAATATTTCCCTCACAAGTTCTTCAGAACAATGCGCGCGCGTTCAAAATACATCCAAGATACGACAGACACAAATATATAAAACACAAGTGTGTTACTTTCATTCCTTTTCCTCTTCGCTTTCTTTTTACGCTCTTTCCGATGGTGGCATATAGCTCAGAAGAGACTGGCTTATGGTAATGACAGATGTTGTGGACACGGGCGGAGTTCAGAGCTGTGAAAACTACACAACTGTCGCTCTCGAGTCTGCACGCGGTTTAACCAGAGCGAAGCGCTTTCTTCTTAGAAGGCGTTTACATTCTGATATATCATACATTGGCACCTTTTTTGCTGGATAATGCAAACAACCCATAATCTTTTTGAAACGCAGAGTTGCTGCCACCAGCACTAGAAATAGCGACAGAAGACGCCGAAGAAAAGTAGGCTGCGTATCGCACGAGAGCTTCGAGAGGTGAGTTATTATTGAGTTATACAGTGACTTCATGAAGTAATCATTCCCATTCACAAACATGCAAGCTTTGTTACATGTTAACGTCTGAAAGGAAGTAACATGAACATAAAGAGTTCCGGTGTGTACGATTTGGAAAACAACAAACTGACAAGCCAAAAAAAGCATATAACAATTCTGCGTTAACCAAAGCATCTCCTCTGAGCGTCTTAAGATAATTGCGTCATAATCGTGTCCAAGATGATAAAAATTAGAAATCTTTTATAAATGCAGTTGCCATACGTGCTAAGTTCCTAGAAATGTCATCTTTGAAGGATGAGTTCAGGTAAAAAAAGGACCATCCCAATGTCAAGAAGTCGTCAGATTTACCTGAATTCACTCTATTCCTGTTGGGTACATAAATGTTTTGGAAACATTTATAAATTTATCTACAAAATATAGATTTAATTAATCAAAAACTGTCAAGTGGTGTAACTTTACTTGTACCTTGAAGACGCGATGTATTTGTATTTTTTAAAATGCTAATCATATTTTAAAACAAACGTAATTGGCTCTTTGTTTTAAAGAAATAATAATAAAAACAACCTATGCTAGCATTTTTTAATTTGTTTTTCAAGCTTTTTATTTAGATTTTTTTTTTAATCTCTGGAAAATCACACAACAGACATTTTTGACTTAATGCTCCATATATAAAAAAAGTCAATGTGACTTTTAAATCAGAAACTTAAAACATGCTCATCATAGAAGAGATATGTGCAAGCTTTTCTTTGTATGATTGCATTTTTAATGTAATTTTGAATAACTTAATGGACTAAGGCAAAAAGAGTGCCACTTCACTCCACTTCACTGACCCACTTGCTGTTTTTTTTTGTTTTGTTTTTTTTGCAGTAGGAGAATTTTTAACTGCACCTAGACTGCCACAACCTCCATTCATACTGTTTTACAGTTAGCCATTATAAACTTTTTACAACACCGTATGTCTCAACACCTTATCATAGAGTCAACAGGATGTTGGCGCTTTGTAATATTTAAGTGAAGATGTGGTTTGACACTTGAGCAAAAAGGTGATGCTTAAACTGCAGCACTAAGTCACAGATGCTTGAATAATGGTTTTTGAGGCCACAATGTTGAGATTTTCCAAAATGTATTTTCTGGACTTTCTTGAAGTGTAGCTAACCCAGAGTTTTAGTAAACAAATGAATGTGAATTGACATCAGATACTTCAGATCTTCCTCTTTGCTGCTAGTTTGCACACTATTGTAACATGAATTCACTTACAATGGAAGTCTATGTGGCAAAGCAGAAGTTAAGCTCATTTTTAAAAAATTAAAATATTTATATAAATTATTCCATAATTTTTTAAAATTATTATTTGAGCAGTAAAGGCATCCTTTTTTTTAGCATTGGGCCTACTGTTACATGCAAAAATAAACTTGTGTCCATATGATGAACTATATTTTTCCATGTAAAGAGTTCTTTGTAAATAATTGTCAAATTTTTTAGGTATTGTGCATTCTGTGTGAAACTTACTGCATTTACTTACCTGAACAAGAACAGAGTTTAAATATTGGATGCCATGTTGTCCCTCATAATATAATATAACAGAACGTTTGTGCAGTTTTTCATGGTACAACAATGAAATATCGATGCAGATTTTTACAACTATGTTCTTTACAATTTTGCTTTAGCAACGCTTTAATTTAAATGGTTAATAAAATCATAACAGTTTACTCCATATTTGATTACAACCCTACACTTGTTTTCCACTCTTTAATGTCTAACTGTGTGCTATCTGGCACTGAACCTTGGAGATAAGTAATGAAGTGTTGAGTTGATGATCACTTAGGTTAAGTCATCTCGCATACATGTTGCCATTTTGACCTCAAATGAGCGGGATAAGACACTGAATGATTTTATGGACATTATTCCCAGACAACAATGATTAAACTAGGAAGCAAGGTTAGGTGAAGGATTACTCATTTGTGGAGTGTTTTTTGACATTGCATGAATTGCACATGTGTCATCTGGGTGTGCGCTTTCTTGAGTGAGATTTAAGCGCACAATGTTGAGACTGTGTATCCCGTTTTCCATGACATCACAGTGGAACGTGTCATTATTCTGTGAATGGTTACCAACACCGCTGCACTATATAATACTAATTTAAATACAGAGTTCATTAAGAATCCGAGCAACCCTTGAGGTTACAAAGATGCCGTTTTGGGATGGAAACTCAGGTCAGTTTTTGTCTCATTTCCTAACTGATCAGGAAATGTTTCTGTTGTTTATAATATGTGACCCTGGACCACAAAACCAGTCTTAAGTAGCTTGGGTATATTTTTAGCAATAGGCAAAAAAAACATTGTATGGGTCAAAATTATAAATTTTTCTTTTATATCAAAGATCATTAGGATATTAAGTAAAGATCGTGTTCCATGAAAATATTTTGTAAATTTCCTATCGTAAATATATCAAAACTTAAGTTTTGATTAGTAATATGCATTGCAAAGAACTTCATTTGGACAACTTTAAAGGCGATTTTCTCAGTATTTTGATTTTTCAAGTCACATATAGTGTAACAAGTTGTCCAAAATGTTTTTTTTGGCCCTCATTTTCTCAAAATCAAACTTTGAGTTTACAGTGAGGCATTTGCAATGTAAATGGATGGGGTACAGTTTTGTAGGGTTTAAAAGCTGAGATATGAGTCTAAATAAATTTTAAAAAACTCATTCATTAATTCTTCTGTCTAAGTTTAAATCACAATTTTTACAGTACTTTTAGAGTTTTATGGCTTTGTGATGTCATGGTGACAAAGTAAAAATGAATATAACTTTACAGAGAAAAGGTTAGTAAGCAATTTTTCACACTAAAATCATATTTATACATATGTTAGTTATTGTGTCTACATGTGTGGAACAGTATTTTAATGTTTATGAATTTGCCCCATTTACTTCCATTATACAGTAAGTAACTCACTGTAACCCAGATTGTTTTTTTTATGTTGACAAGTTGACCAGTACCACTGGAAATGATGCACAGTTCTTAAATTGATTGACTCCGATTGACTTCCTCTAGTTAACACTATAAGTTGTAATGCTAACGTTGATGTACTAGTCTGTGATTCTATGTAACGTGATTGTGAAGTCATTTTCTATCATGCTTTGTCTATGGTGGTCACAGCCTAATTGTGGTTTGTGACATTAACACAGAAAGAGACAGTGGTACATCAGTATCTAAGCAACAAGAGCCTTCGCTGTATTCCTCATGTCCTGGTGTGACGCTCGTGTTCTGTGTGCGCGTGTCTGCGGGCACTGATGCGTGTGGAAATCATAGGGTGTTTTCATGTTTAGTGTTTTTGAGGAGTTGTCTGCCAGGGGACCATGAACCCAAGCATCGCAGTCCCAGACAAGTTATTTTTGTGAGAAAAGGTCAAACAATTATATGTAGTTAATTTCTTTACAATGTTGTTATAAGTTGGTAATTTAGAGGCCTTAGAAATGTGCGTATCAAATATGATACAGTAGGTTTTATAGGGTTAATATTGCTGGGATATTGCTGTCTAAAAGAATTAGACATTAAGATATACAGTGGGGTCCAAACGTCTGAGACCACTGGTGGAAATGCTTCAATTTTGCATTCAAATTATAGTAGCATAATAACTGTTTGAGTAAAAATTTTATTTGAAAATTGTTTAACCTTGCGGGAAGACCAGACCTTTTATTAAAAAAAAACAAAAAACAATTTACATGCTCATAAATGTGCTTATTTGAGTGTCTTAGAAATAGTGCAGAATCTCAGTATAATATAATTAAATTAATAATATTTAATTAAAGTAAAATATGAATAATTTTATGTCATAGTATGTCTTTGTTTTAAAATGTTCTGTTTATTTCAGGTTTAAATTAGATTCTGTTTTTACTGAATGAATGATACTTCGCAATGAGTATATAAGAAGTTATACTGAGAAGAGTTTTGTTGCCCCTAGGGTGTGGGAGAGGGGGTACTCCCATCTCCATGGCCTATACTCTGGCCTCAGGCCCCGACGCGGGTCCTGCCATTGGGCCCCAGCACTGCATCACAAAGGTAGAGCTCTCTGTCTGTGGCTCCAACCTGCTGGACCGCGACGTGGCATCCAAGTCTGACCCCTTCTGTGTTCTTTTCCATGATGTGGATGGCAACTGGGTGGAGGTAAGAAGTGATAAAAAGTGTTCACGTTCCACTTTACCTTCACAGATTAGTGGAGTTATTGTGGATAACATAGGTTAACCTTTAATAAAATCTGATGCTAGTTAGAGATAGAATGGAGAAAGCTGACTGACATGTAAATATGAAAGAAAAGAAGATGGAATTGGGCAGAGATCTCTTTGGGGACAAAAGCAAAAGCTGGAAGCTTAGAAAGCTGAAATAGCTGGCATGTAGGAAGCAAAATCTGAGGAAAATGGGTTTTAATCTCTTTGTACGCTGAATAAAAAATGGACCGAGGATCAAAATAGGTTGCAGTGCGAGCACACGTGTGTCTGTAGAGTCTCTACGGGACTGTGCCCTCAGCGGTCCAATCATCACAGGCCAGTGCTGCTGGTCAGTAGGGCAAGCCGGCACATGAAATCACTCTTCCACAGCACACTGTAACCATGGAAACACCAAGGGACAAACAAAGGAATGTGTTTGTAGTATAAAAATGCATGGTTAAATGCATCTTAGAACATGATGTGTTTAGGAATTAAGAATGCTAATATTAAATGAATAGATTTACATACAGATAAATAATAAACAAAGATTCTGCCTAAAGATTCTCATGATCTATACACCATTAAGGATGGGTAGTGATTGTGTGTAAATATAGTCTCATTGTCATTACTGTAATAATTGATAATATATTAAATCTAGTTTTTTTTGTATAGAAAGATTATACCGTTACTACAATATACTACAACATACTGTTGTGCTGCCTTTAATGTTTGATACCTTGAGGTTATGCATTTTTTAAAAATATTTTTATTACACTAATATTTTGTTACTTTAAACAGTATTGAGAATATATTGAGGGTCAGTAAAGAGTATTATATTATACAAAATGAAAAAAAAACAAACAAAAAAACATTACAAATGATTACAAAAATAATTACCAAAAATTTCAATTAGAACTTTTTTTCATTAAATAGTATTACAATGACAAAAAAAATAATTATATTCCTAAAAAATGCGTCATTATTTTTTATGAAAAAAAAAATATATATCTATTTTGAAAATAGTGTTACAATGCCAAACAAATCATTTTATTCCTAAAAATATACTTTATTTTTATGCAAAAAATATTTTAAGATTTATTTACTTTTCGTTTTTAGGATGAGATCTTACCTGAGAATATTGGTAAATTAATTGGCCAGCCTAATATATTGGGCTATCATTAACTTTAAGCATTTTGGTTTACAGTTTATTTGCAAAACTTAAATCCACATCTTTGTTTTACACTACTGAAAGAGTAGTGTAATACAAGTTCATGTAGTTGCACCATAAGTGGTGTAAATCCTGATAATCACATGTCCTCTGCTTTTATCTCATTTCAGCTGGCTCGAACAGAGACTGCTGTGAACAACCTGAATCCAGTATTCGGTGTGAAATTCCAAGTAGATTACCACTTTGAGGAGGTCCAGAAGCTCAAGTTTGCCATGTTTGATGAGGACAAATGCAGCACCCAGCTTTACGAACACGACTTTCTGGGCGAGTTCACCTGCACACTGGGTGTGGTACGGTAGCATTTTCATATTTTACCTGCTTCCAGATCAATCTGTTATATGCTGTTTCACATCACTGTAATTAGATATTCTTAAGTAATTAACGTAAGCTTTTATGATCTTAGTTATGATAAATTAGCTTTCTGTATCGCCTCTGCTTGTGCATTTTATCGGGCCATCTGTTCTGTTTTAGATTGTGTCAAATAAGAAGCTACATCAACCACTGATTCTGGCTAATGGCAAGCCAGCAGGGAAGGGGGCTATCACAGTAAGACGGCACATAATACACTATAACAGACATATGCATTAATGGAGTTTGTACTAGAGCATCATGAAATGCTCCGTTTGGTCTAGATAACAGCCCAGGAGTTATCAGACAACAGAATAATCACCCTAACCTTGTGTGGGAGGAAGCTGGATAAAAAGGTGAGTTAAGAGGTTGTGAAAACCATTCAAGCACTTTAAAAAGCGCTCAGTGATAGAGGATGATGTTTTTGTTTGTGGCTGTTTTTCAGGACTTTTTCGGTAAATCAGATCCCTATTTAGAATTCCACAAACAAGGGGATGATGGGAAATGGATGATGGTTCACAGAACAGAGGTTTCTGATATTCTCGTTTATAAACACTTTTGTTCTTATAGTTTTATCATTTGTTAAGCTTGTGTTCCAGGCTGTATTCATCTATTTAATGAAGGCAAGGAAGAGAATAATAACCATTTGTGTGTGTGACTTCAGGTCATTAAGAACACTTTGGATCCTGTATGGAAGCCTTTCACAGTGCCTCTAATCTCACTTTGTAATGGAGATGTGGACCGAAACATCAAGGTGTGCATTTATATTTGTCTTTGGCAGAAATCATGCATTTTCACTACCATTCAAAGTAAGGTTTTTAATAAAGATATGAATACTTTATTGAACAAGAAAGCATTTTTTAAGCTATATATTTGGTCCAGATTCAAACTCTTTCATGCTAAACAAAAACTGTATCATTACTTTATCCCATCTTACACCTATTCAGAGAACTACTAAGCAGTTATGTGTTTGATTTTTCTTTTGCTCATATCTCATCTCGTCCTGATGACCCAGAATGAATTCTACAAATTTTATCAGCATCAATTTCCTTTAACATGTTCATACGTGTCACAACTCGCAGTAAACGTGTGATGTCACAGGTGCTGTGCTACGATTACGACAACGACGGAGGCCATGACTTCATCGGCGAGTTTCAGACCACCATTAACAAGATAAGCGAAGCACAGAATGGAGTGGAGGTGGGCTTGCCTTCAATTAACACTGTAGAGATTCATTATTTCTAGAATGTAGGAACTAAATGCGTGAAGTAAAGCTTGGCTCCCACTAATGCCTGCCACTTTTGCACCAGAATACTATGTGAGTACTAGCTATGCCTCATTATCTGGCATAATGAAGCTGAGAATTAGTGAGTGAGAGAGGGAGAGACAGAGAGAGAAGGAGAAAAGAGGTGGGAGGGAGAAACAGAGAGTAACTGGCTCTTTTGAGATGCAAATCGCTCTTATTTTACCGCTACCTTGTTTACCAGAACAAGCATTGTGTGTCGCCAGTCACACTTAGGCAGAACATGTGTAAATGTTCTCCTGGAGAAAGAGTTAGTGTACTAATAAACACCCTTTCACTACTTTCAGGTACTGACATTCTTTTGCACAGCCTTAGCTAGGAGATATGATGTATTTTGTGCCATGTTGTAAACTAATCGAGCTCCCGCAGTGATTGTCACCCCTCGGTGTTCACATTTCACTTGAATGCTCACACTAGAATTCACAGATGATGCTGATACTTGTATTATCTTTTCAGAATAGACAGTGTGGCAGTATGGTAGCTTTTATACAAAAATATCTGTCTCAACCTTGAAATTGCTTAAGAGAGACCTTAAAATAATGTTATCATTGATTCAAATAAAGAATGTTGATTAGTTAGCAGATTTATTATATTAGCAGAATTGCAGCTACTAATATCAAGAGACCAGGATATAATATGAATAACTCACAGCAAAGGAAAATGCAGATATTCAAGATTGCTGGAATAAAATGAATTATAGTATTATTATTATTAATAAATAATCATATTTTACAGTGTTAATTTAAAATATTTTTCTATTTTTTTTTTTTATATAATTATTTTTTATAAAAATAGAATTAATTAAAGTGGACAATAACACAGTGCTCTCTGTTCACAGGTTGAGTTTGAATGCATTAATCCGAAAAAACAGAAGAAAAAGAGCTACAAAAACTCTGGGGTCATAATAGTGAAGTCATGCAAGGTAAGGAAAGAAAAAAAGGAAAGAAAACGGTGATATTCGCTGTTCACAGGCAGCAAAACTGCAGCATTAAATACATTCTGCTTGCACATTAAAGCACTTTCCATGTTCCAGCTTATTTAATTACATTTATATTACGAATTTAAGGCTTTTTCCTTAAATTTAGCTTGTTTGAATTTAAGGCATTTAATTGTGACTTTGCTGTAAGGACAGATTAGGTTAATAGTGCTAAATCCCCTTTAAATAATATGTATTAATATCGGCACAAAACACCTTGTCACTCTTGCACCGTCACCATTTAATCACCTCTACTGATGGATTCAGGCATCAACAGAACATGACTCAGTTATTCTCCCTAAATCTCCCTTTGAACTCGCATTAACAACCATTTTACAACCTTTAGCTTGAGGGAATGTGAAAGGGTGGTGACGTGATCTGTATATGTGAATATAAAACATTTTGCTGTGTCGTTTCTTTGTTAGATTACAAGAGACTATTCCTTCCTGGACTACATTCTGGGTGGCTGTCAGCTCATGTTTACTGTGAGTATGATAACGTCACCGCTGGAATTGAACGTCTGTTTTTTTTTTTTGTCAGTGATTTGAGGGGAGGGGGGTTCATGCATGCAAAATGCAAAAACATCATTTGTATGCAGATGATATTTAAAATATACTCTGCCACTAAGAAAAATTTTAGCTGAAAACCACAATGTCAGAATGCAATAAAGACGGTTGTAAAGTGTCCGATTTGAATGGTGGATTCGTTTGATGTTTTACATTACTGAATTTTGCACAAATGATTGTTAAAGTCAAATTTGTTGAATCCAGTACTCTAAAAGCTTTCTTTCCGTACACTGTCCAGTTGAGCAGGCTCTATATATGGTTCCTTTATGTGACTCAATTGCCTTCACCAGTGTGATTGGTAAGAAATGATACAGAAAGTGAGTGAAATTCACAGGTTGCTATAGTTACAGTGTGCTGCAGTGTAGAGGTCCATGTCTCTCATTTGAAACTAAAGACAGAGAGAGACACAGGGATGTAAAAAAGAGAGAGGGAGAGAAAGCAAGAGAAGCTGTGTGAGCCTCTGAACAAAGAAAAGTGATTCTGATATCTTGTTTGCTTGACGCCACCTTATGATGCATGCTTGTTGGTTGCCCTGCAGATTATGATAAGCCCTCACATACCGATTTCACCAATGCACTTTTTCTGTATAGATTATTATTATTTTTTTATATTTTCCTATAATCTGTTAAAGGATTAGTTCATCCAAAAAGAAAATTGTATTCACTCTGATTTTGTTCTAAACCTGTTTGATATTCTATCTTTTGCAAAAAAACACAAAAGGAGAAATTTTAAAGACCGTTGTCCATGCTCTTTTCCATTCAGTTACAATAAACAGGGACTGGTCATTTTAAGCTTCAAAAAGGAAGCCAATGAATCATAAAATTATCCTAAAAGTGGTCCATATGACCATGACTCTCTTCTGTAGCCATAAGAGTTCTCTTAGCTCACTCATCCTTCCAGTGAGTTGTTAACTGCTTTGACCGGATAATTCATTCAAGTCACTGAGTTGAAGTTAAGAACCGGATCAGTTTGATTCATGAATGAATCATTCTGAATCATTCAGGTTTTATTAACTGATTTACTACAAAAAAAGACTCAAGTTCATGAATCTGACATCACTACTTCTCTTGTCAATGCACCAATAAGACAGTGTGAGAGCGACTAAATGATGTTTGAATTTTTGGGGTGAACTGTCCCTTTAAGCTTGACAGCTGTTAAAAGACACTGGAAACATCTGTCTCCAATTTCTTCAGCATGTGGTTCCAGCATAGATTCATGGTTAAGGTCATTTACTTTCACTTTCCTGCTTTCACTCCATCATTCTTAGAAGATCAAGTGTGCTGGTAGTTCTTCTTCTTCTAGTATCTTCTTCAGTGCTGCAGCTGTAATCTCAGTTCTCTGTCCTTGTGCAGCTTCAGTGCAGCTGTTTACCAAGTGCTCACAGCATCTTTATAAAGTCAGTCGAGCGCAGGGTACAGCAGTGGGCAAACAGACTCATGAATGCAGCATTCAGAAGAGATGTCAACATAGTAAAGGACATTGCAAAATTCTGGAGAGGAGAATTGGGCAAGGTCTGTTGGTTATTTTATTTCATTTTGAGGTAGAAACCAAAATTTTAGTCTTCAGTTGTGCTATCTCATTTTAAGCTGTACTTCTTAAAGAAGCAGTTCACCTAAAAATTAAAAAGCATTCATTTATGGTGCCATGGTGAAGGAGAAAGCAAAATATCTCCTTTTTTGTTCAACAGAAAAATGAAAGTTATATGAGTTTGAAAGGAGGCTGAGTAAACGATGACAGAATTTTAATTTATAGCTGAACCCTTTTTTTAAAGGGGTCATATGATGCTATTTTAAAGATCATTATTTTGTGTATTTGGTGTAACAGAATATGTTGACATGCTTTAATGTTCAAATTAAAGCATGTTTTGACAATAATGTGTCAAAAAACACATTATTTTTCAAATACTGTACATTATTGTAGGTCCTCTATGCCCTGCCTCTCTCAAACGCTTCGTTTTCTACAAAG